TTGGGGTTAGGGTCAATTATGGACCGATCCACACAAAATTTGGTAGAGGGGTTTTAGATCATAAGAGACTTATTGTCAAATTTTTAAGCCAGTAATGAGCGTTAAAGTAATTTTTGGAAGGGGATCTTATATGGGGGTTAGGGTCAACTATGGGCCGATCCACATAAAACTTGATAGAGAGATTTTGGCTTCATTGAAACTTCATGACTATACTCGTATTTTTTAAGCCAGTAATGAGCATTAAAGCAATTTTCTGAAGGGGACCTTATATGTCAATTATGGACCGATCCTCATAAAATTTGGTAGGGAGATTTTAGATCATATGAAACTTATTTGAGTCGAATTTCATCGCTTTACTCGTACTTATAAGACAGATATGCCCGTTAATAATATTTTTCGGGGGTCCACTTGTATGGAGGCAATCTAAAAACGTAGATCGATATTGCCCATTTTCAATACCAAACAAACCTTACCTATAGAGTATATTTGTGGAAAATTCAACTCTCTAGCTCGTTCCGTTCGGACTCTATAGTGCTTTCAACAGACAGACAAACGGACGGACAGACATAGCTAGATCGTCTTAGAATTCAATAAGGACCCAGAATATAAATACTTTTGTGGGTCTATAACCAATAATTCGATGTGTTACAAACGGAATGACAAAATCGATCATCTTTTTTTTATGGTGGCTATAAAAAGTGTCTTTCTGTTAGTAGTGTGTTAGTACTAGTGTTGTCACCATTACTTCTGGAACCCGTTCTGTGGAACATTGTTGTGATTCCAGAATATGTTTCAAAACAACTTTAGGGAAAATCGCGTATTTTTATACCCTTCACCCTTCATATATTATTTAGGGAAAATCACGTATTTTTGAAGGTGAAGGGTATACCTTCGTGAGAAATTTGTCATTCCGTATGTAATTTCTACAATATAATGTAATGTATGTTTAAATCACTTTTCATAAGAGCCCAGATATCTGCGATATCCGAATCTTCAATAATTCTATCAAACATTCTTTCGAGAAGTTTCCTTTTAAAAAAATTCCGAAACAACCCAGCAACTAGTTATTTCAACAAATTTTGTCTCAAGTCCTTCTTTCTTCTGGCTTTCAATTGTAATTACTTATCTAACAACATACTTTTCAATGACTACAACATATGGTCTAGATTACATAGAAGTAGTTTAATAAGGTCTTACTAATAATGTGTTATATATGTAAATACTAATTCATTAGTCATCTTGCCAGTGAAGATATAGATGCTGTATACGTTTTTTCATGTGATTTACAATGACTACTTTTTCTAATTACTTGTAATCGTTTGAGGTAAGTACTTGTCTCCAATGACATCGCCGTGTTAAAATAATTACTTAAAAATCTATTGTGTAAGAAAATTTTAGCACTTTAACCCCTTACATGGTAATGAAAGTTTTTACTGGGATGGTTGAAAGCTTTTAAATTTGGTTTTGAAAAACTTTTCTTTTTGTTTAATAAACAAAATATGTATATATGTTTTTATAATTTGCAATAATCAATATATTTCTTTATTTAAAACAATATTTAAAAAATACTTCGTATTCAAAGACTATAACAATTAGGCATTTTGAATTACACCAACAACAGTGCCGACTGCTCCTATAACCTTTCCAGCTGTTTGAACAGTTTTAGCGATTTTGTAGACCTTATAAGCTTTCTTGGCCGTCTTAACCACTTGTTTGCCATCATTTTTCTGAAATAATTAAAAATGTCCATTAAAACTTTTACATTATTAATTCAATAATTCAACAGAAACCGCACCAATTCAGATCCCACTTCTTGAGTTTCGTTTGCCTTTAGTTTAAATAGATAATTTAAATAAATTTATATTATTTGCACAAGTTTAAGATATAGTATTCATTTTTATTATTTACCACTTTTTCACCAGTATTAACCTAAAAATTAAATCAAAGATTATTATAATATAAGAAAAGTAATTTAACTGAAACTTACCAACTTGGCACCAGTATCATGAACATCACTTTCCTATTGGAAAAAAATAAAGTAAAATTTGAATTAACTTATAATAATTCCAAACTTTTAAGAGATCAAGTATTTACCATTTTATCGCCATATTGACCTAGAAATAAAACGAATTATTCGGGATTATACTTAAAAAAGGTAATAAATTAAATAAAACTCACCAATTTACCACCAGTTTCATGGACATCACTTACCTATAGAGAAACAGTTAAATTTATATTAACTTCTTATACATCGTTTTAAAATATGATACGATTATATATTTACCACTTTATCGCCAACATTATCCTAAAAATATAACAAATTATTCTAGATTATTTAAAAAAAATATATATAAGAACTCACCAATTTAGCACCCACTTTATGAGCACCACTTTCCTATATAAAATGTTTAATTTTAATAAATTTTAATTTTATTACTTTTCAATGCAACTTACTACATCCTTTTTCAAATTTCCAAAAATGCTATGAGCCTTGGCAGCCTGTTGGCCTAAAAGGCACAAGACTACAATGACGAAAATTGCAAAATATTTGTTAAAGTTCATGGTTTTTGTTGTTTACTATGATTTGTACAAATACAAACTGTTAAAATATCGAGGTCTAAATTTTCTTTAAATACAAAAATTTTGTATTATTATATGTACCCTACACCACTTTAGTGGGGAGGGTATATTGGGTTTGTGCTGATGTATGTAACGCATAGAAATATTGGCTTTACACTTACCTTAAAGTATACTAATCGGCTCATAATCATTTTCTGATTATGAGCCGATGACCGTCCGTAAACCTAGTAATCAAACTACAGGTCACTATTTTCAAGATAATTTGATGAAATTTTGCACAAACGTTTGGTTCATTATTACACCTAGCCACCATACAACCGTAACCCCCGAATATGTCCTTTAAGCCCATAATTATGTTAACTGTTCTAGTATCTGTACAAAAATCAACAAAACTTTGTTTTATATGAGTCAAAATAATACTGCTGATATTCGTAAGGAACGGGCCTCATTTGATTCTAGCCCTCATATAAAGTCCCCTTCAGAAAATGACATTACGATGAAATTCTGGATAAATAACTTTAATGTTAAAATAAATCCCTCTATGAAAATTTATAAGGATAGGTTCATATTTCCCCTTGGCTCCATATAACCTCTCGTCCATAAAATTACTTTTTTGTCAACAATACGTTATTCTTCAAAATAATCAAATTTTTAACATACAAACTGGTGTAGGGTATCCTATGGCCGTGACCGACTATAGATTCTCACTTGTTTTTGCATTGTTTTTATTATCAAAAATATTGAATAATTGCGGAATTGGTTAAAATGTTTTAGGGTCTTACGACTATATTAACTATGACAAGTGCATTATAACTTTTTGGTATTTATTTGGGGATGTTAGGTACTAATTTTGATCAGTTGATAAAATTTTTTTGTTAAATAAACAAAGCAATGATATTGGAAGTTTGCTGCAAAAAATATATGAATATCCCCATATTCATGTCAAGTGACCGACCAAACTTTTGAAACCGATGTCATCGAACTTTGTTTTTCACAAACTACTTACTTAACTCCCTGTTTGCATGCTTATTGTAAGTACTTACCTAACACCCTGTTACTCCGATTTTTATTAGTCCTTATAAAAAGGACTTCAAAGTTGAAAGTGCTTACAATTTCAAACGAATATTTTAATTGTTTATGTGTGTTATATGATGCTGGTATCAAATGAAAGCTCGGAATCTATACATTCTATCTATATTAATTATTTGACTCACTTAGACAAAAAATCGAAAAAGAAATTAAATTTAAACAAGTAGGAGTGTTATATTCGGCTGTGTCGAATCTCATACACCCACTATCAAACTGTATGCCGTAAAAGGAATGCTTCCCTATAAACAACAGGGTGATATTACTCATCAAATTAACTGAAGAGGATTTTATATGAGATATGGTTAATTATTGACCGTGTTTATACCCTCCACCACCATCAGTGGTGATAGAGGGTATATATAACTTTGTCATGCCGTGTGTAACACCAGGAAATATTCATCTGAGACCCAAAAAAGTATATATCGAGGGACTATATTCAATAGTCTCTATCTGTCATTTTTATGAAAATAAGATTTTGGTGGCAAAATATCCAGCAAACTATCCCGCATCAGTGACATAAATTTTAAAAGAAAAATAATTTTTGGCAATTATATAGCAATTTTTAAATTTCTCCATCTTATAAAAAGAAAAATTCTGAATGCAAAACTCTCTATCTCATCCAAAAATTGCTTCAAACTCTATTATTTTGGATAATTTTCTGTTGAAAAACAAGCGGTTTTACTAATTTGGACATGCAGAACACAAATTCGCAAAAATATTTGAAATCGGTTTAATAGTTTTCGAGATATCGCACATTATGATACTAATTTGATTAATTTTATTGCCGTGTTTAACCATATAACATTGATTTTGGACCAAAACCTTATAATCTGTTGCTTTTTCAACAATTTGGTTTCTATTATTTCATTAAATTGCATAAAATGTAATATTTATTGATATTAAATTAAATAAAAATTTATGTTTCTATGAAAAACTCTCTATCTGAAGGTAGTAAAAAAAATTTCGTATAAAAAAGCTCTATCTGATATAAAGTTGTGAATAATTCTGCAAATAATGCAAAATTTTAAATTCTTTTTATGTAACGATTTAGAATATGGTCGTAAAAATATATTGTAGAAGAAAAAATTCAAAAATCTTCACGAACTAGCTAAATAAACAGTTTTTTTGCTCTCCTGAAAACTTGTGTTATTTTAGATAGAGACTATTGAATATAGTCCCTCGATATATTCTGGGTCCTTATCAAATTCTGAGTCGATTTAGCTATGTCCGTCTGTCTGTGTAAATCACGCTCACGATAAAACGAAGCAATAGAGTTTAACCAAATTCACCCAAAATGTTCTTCATTTTCCTAAGTTGTTTGGTATTGAAAATGGGCAAAATCGGTTCACACCGGGAAACGTTATGAATCAAAATTTAAAACAACCTCGAAAAAAATAAGCATTTTTTACACATTCTGATGTAATTTTCTCGAAAACTATGCAAGATAATTCCATTCCAAAATTACCAAACATTCGTTTCTACACAAGAGCTTGATCCCTGCATAAAATTTTCTGAATCGGTCCACAATTTCATATACCTTCCATACAAAAGTACATATTCCCGGAAAATGGGTTTTTTGTTAATAACTTCCGTCACAATGTCGATATCTTCACAAAATTTTACAAATTAAAATCTTATGTCAATAGAATTCATACAGAGGAAAAATTTTCTGGGTCGGTCCATAATTGGACATAGCTCCCATACAAGGTCCCTTCCCGAAAATCACTTAAACGCGCATAACTCATTACTAAATTAAGATATCCATATAAAATTTGGTACAAGTATTACTCATATGCACAGAAATATTACTGAGAAATTTTGTTCTGAACGGTCCATAATTGGTCATAGCTCCCATACAAGGTCCCCTCCCGAAAATCACTTAAACGCTCATAAATCATTACTTAAATAAGATATCCATATCAAATTTGGTACAAGTATTGCCCATATGCATAGAAATATTACTGTGAAAGTTTTTTCCGATCGGTCCATAATTGGTCATAGCTCCCATACAAGGTCCCCTCCCGAAAATCACTTAAACGCGCATAACTCATTACTAAATTAAGATATCCATATAAAATTTGGTACAAGTATTACTCATATGCACAGAAATATTATTGAGAAATTTTTTTCCGATCGGTCCATAATTGGTCATAGCTCCCATACAAGGTCCCCTCCCGAAAATCACTTAAACGCACATAACTCATTACAAAGTTAAGATATCCATATAAAATTTGGTACAAGTATTTCTCACATATACAGAAATATTACTATTAAAGTTTTTTGGATCAGTCCCATAATTGGTCATAGCTCCCATACAAGGTCCCCTCCCGAAAATCACTTAAACGGGCATAACTCATTACTAACTTAAGATATCCATATAAAATTTGGTACAAGTATTGTATCATAAACACAATGAAGTTGAACTAAGTCGGGAAGTCACCATATATGTACTGTCCGATTCTGCACTTTATTTTTTGTATATCCTACACCCTAAATATTGGTCCTACACTCACCTTAAAGTTACCATATGTTCATCTGCCCGTCCGTCTGTATGTCAATTTCGAGATAGTTTAATGAAATTTCATGCTCTTCTACCCAAGGAGGAAGTCTGTTGAAAATGGTTAAAATCGTCCATTATTTCGTATAGCATCCATACAACTGTACACCCCGAATAGGGCTTCACTTATAAATACTAATATCACCATAATATCTATCACTAAATAACTTTAATGTAGACGTAACTATTTTGAAATAGTTTAGGTCTAGTACGGAAAGTAATTTTAAAGTTATAGAAAAATATTGCTGTTAATAGAACATTAAAGAGAATTGTAATTTCTGCTTGAGTTATGGACGCTCAGGTCTTTAAAAAAAATATACTTAACTGTAAAATACTTAACCAATGACTAAACACATTCATCAATTATGCTAATTCAACCTATTTGTTATACATATATTAATAAAAATATTTAACCCTTAATCCCCAGAATATGATATAAAAATTTGCCACAATTAATATATCTAAGCCTAAAATTCAGAACAACTTTTTGCCATTATTTGATATTAAAATTTTACTATATAAACAATATTTTATTAAAGTACTTTTAACAGTTTGTATTTTTGCAAATTATAGTAAAGAACCCCAAAAACCGAATACTATGAACTTTAACAAATATTTTGCCATTTTCATAATAGTGATCTTGGGACTTTTGTGTCAACATGCTGCCCAGGGGTCATAGTATTTTGGAGATCTGAAACGTGATGTGGTAAGTTTAAAGTTAAATATTTAAACAACAAATACTGAAAAAATTATAATATTTTCTTTATTAATTAAAAGGCAAGAGATTCCCATGAAGTTGACGAAAAAGGGGTAAGTGTTTCTTTATTTAAAATGCCAAATATCGGCGACAATAATATTTATATGATTTTGCTTTCAGGACAATATTAAGCAGAAAGGCGGTAAATATACATATAAAATATATAGTTTCCAAAAACAAAATAATTTTTAAACATTTATTTTAAATTAAACTTTTTTATAAATTTAGGAAAATGATGTTCACAAAGCGGGTCATAAATAGTAGTTTGTTTAATAATTAAATTGTTTTAATATTATTTTATTGGTGGTAATAAAAAACATTTAGTTTAACAATCATATTTCATATTCATATTTCTATTTTATTATTTTTTTAATTATCAAGGAAAAAGTGGCCAAGAAAGCTTATAAAGTTTATAAAGTTGTTCAAGATGTTGAAACCGCTGGAAAGGTTATAGAGGTCGCTGGTGCTTTGGTTCATGTAGCTGAAAAATTGTAAACTTATTTCGAAGAAGTTTGTGAAGAATTTTTTAAATAAATACTTTGTTTAATATAAATTATAACTGTGTATATTATTAATAAGTTAGTTAGCCAATAGTAATACTAAGTTTGAAACCTA